ATGAATTTGGTGAAGGTGAGTAGAATTTAATAAATGTCATGTTGCAAGAACTTACAGGACAGTTCCACTGGTGAATTGATTTTTTTTTTTTTTTTTTTTTTGCGGAACCGGGGGATTGAACTCAGGCCCTTGCACTTGCTGGGAAAGCGCTTATTCCACTGAGCCATCTCCCGGGCCTGGTGAATTGATATTCTATTAAAAATGAGAATGGAAGCTGTTATAATGTGAGCACACTGATGTGGATAGCTTTGAAAAAATTAATTTCCTAAGTTTTATTTTATATGGACTTGGGATACTGAAATAATAGTTTTTATAAAATTTTATTTTGTAACTCAGGAATTCGTTTTAACAGAATTAACTTAGATTTTACATAAAATAAGTGACTCCTGAAGTAAAAGTCTATAAACACTTGAGTTTTTAGCAACTAAAAAGTGCTTTTGTATTGGCTACATATTGTGTATCATCACTCATGAAAAAATCTGAAAATGCTTCAGATACAAGTTCACTTTGAATGTTATCGGCAAAGTAGTTAAAACTGAAGATTTTAAAAATAAGGGGGCCTAGGGCCGGGGAGATGGCTCAGTGGAATAAACACTTGCCTGGCAAGCTCAAGGGCCTGAGTTCAGTCCCTGGTTCTGCCAAAAATAAATACGTAAATAAATACATAAACAAACTTCTAGTCTCTATCCTCAAGCAAGTCAAATTATTTGTAAAAAATATATGTGCTTAACTTTTCAATATTTTTGGCTTTAATATTAAAGTATAAAAAGTGTATAACAATGTTAGACATAATACTTCAAACTTTTATAGGAATTTTTCTTCACAAGTATAAAGTTCAATAAAATATCATTTTCACCCAAAACTATGATTTCTGTTTTTTTCTTCATAATTTTATTGAGAAACAAATAGCATATGATTTCTGTTTGAGCATTTCTTTTTTAAAAAATGTATTTAGTACAGGATCTACAGGGTCATTACATGGATCAGATTCATAGTTATCCTCCTGTTTCTAGCTTCCCAAGTGCTGGGATTGCAGGCACGCACCACCTCAGTGCCATCTCAATGCATGCTGGGGGTGGGGATTGAACCCTGGTCCCTGTGTCTGCCTAAGCAGGTGCTTTAATCTGCTGCGCTGTCTGGCCAGCCCTTAGAACATTTCTTAAAGTGTATTATTTTTTCAGTAGTAAATGAGTAAAAGAGCTAGGTTTTATGAGCACAGTGGCATACATGTTAGTAAAACAGGATTTCTGGATCTAGCAGATAAAAGAGAAAAACTCTTTTAATACATCCAAGCTTGCTTTTTTCCTTTTTTTCTTCATTTTTTGTTTTGATTTTGCAGTGATAGGAGTAAAACCCAGGCTGCAACATGTGGGTAATTACTCTACCAATGAACTATATGTCCAGCTCCTTAGAAATCCTAAGATTTCTAAAAATGTTTTTTTCCCCTAGCTTCCTATTACTTTCTCTTGCCCATTGGTTACATTTACTGTACTTTGTTTCTTTATTTTTCTTATTGTTTGGAATAATTTTTAGTTTTATCCTTCACAGCATTCTCAATATTTTCCTTCATGTCTTGCTTATGTTCTGTATAGCCTGAATTCTGAAGCAAGGCCTTTGAAAGTTTTTTTTTTTTTTTTTTTTTTTTGTCGGAACTGGGGATTGAACTCAGGCCCTTGTGCTTGCCAGGGAAGCGCTTATTCAGCTGAGCCATCTCCCCGGCCCCTGAAAGCTCTTAATATTACCTAGCTGAAATATGAATGGAAAATATATAAATGAACAACTACCCACCACCCCCATTTGCATCTCATTTGACCACTTGTTTTGTTGAACATTTAGAATTGTTCTCTGACTTTGGTGTTCTTTCTTTCTTTATGTCTGTTCTGGGGATTGGACTTAGGGCCTTAAGGATGCTAGGTGAGAACTCTGCCTGTGAGCTACAGCCCCGCGCTGGTGTGTTTCTTTATTGCAGGCAAACTAAAGTATTTAAAAATCATTCTTATAGCAAACTTTTATATATTCTTCTTTCCAAATAAGCATTAATCGGAAATTTTTGTGTATTTCATTAAAAGCTTAATTTTTAAATGAGCATAAGATACCTTGGCCAAAACCACCTTCAATGTGAACTAAGATGGTTACCCTAGGAATACAGGGCAATCTGTCCAATAAAAATAATCAATTTAGAAGATTGAAAAGAAAAAAATAGATAGCAATCTGATAAGAGTTCATAAGGCATATAGAGCAATATATAAAATGTAGTTTACCTAGAAGATTTACTGAAGACAAGGAAAAATGTTTTTAAGGTTGTTACTTTATTAAATGGGAATTAACAAGTAAGGGTCCTAAAGAGGAAGTAGGTATGTTCATTAATTTTGAGTTTGTCTTTTTAGAGGTTTAAAACTTCTTAAAAGCAAAAATAATCTAGAGCACTGTAATTGCAATCTTAAAACTGAATGGATAGAATGAAAGAATAAGAACTATGCAATGTAGTTATTGTTTTGAAATCTCATGATTGGTTTTGGTTGGCTTGGAAGTAGTCTAAAGAGAGCCTCTTGTTAATTTTTCTAGGAAGTGCAGTAGAGAAATCCTTAGCTGTGAGTCAAGGTGGAGAGCTCTATGAAGAGTGGCTGGAACTTGGAAATGGTTGCCTCTGCTGCTCAGTGAAGTAGGAGTGTGTTTACTCTGCTTGTTAGTCTACTAGAAATGTTTATTCCAACTTTGATTTTCCTGTGTAAATTAACTTAATTTAGATAGCTGCTTCATTGTATTTTTAAATAGGAAATAAATTTTCAGAGCTATTAAGCTCTAGTGTTTCTTGCTATTTTTTCCTGTTTTAACACTTTTGTCCTTTTATTGGGCTTAAAGAATTTTTTTTCAATGTCAGGGTTTATTTAATAACATATAGAGGACAAGCCACTCATAGTGGCATATGCCTCTAATCCCATCACTGGAAAAGCTAAGACAGTAGGATGAGTTTAGGCCAGCCTGGGTAACACCGTGAGTTCAAGGTGAGCCTGAACTACATGGTGAGATCCTGTCTCACCACCCTGCCCAAAATGTGTATAGAGAGAAAGGTGAAAGTCTCATATATTTAAAAAAAGATTATTCTAAATTTAATACATCAGCCTTATTTCTATTTTTTCTTATTTCTAAATATTAAGCCTATTTTAAAACAAATATAAATAATTATGAAAACAAACCTTACATGTGTTTCATCAGTTTCCCAGATAATGTCTGTTTTGTTTACTAAGCTGGCATAAATCCCAGAACAGTGCATAACAGATAGTAACAACTAACATATTTGTTGGTTAAACTATGAAAATTAATACATGTATTACTGATTTTGTGTATTCTACTGAGTTTAATTTTTTCTGTGTCGTGTACTCCATTAAATGTTTGAACTGGGCTGGGGAGATAGCTCATAGAATAGGTCATGAGTTCAATACTTTGTACCGCAAAAACAAAAACAAACAAACAAAAAAATTGAATCAAGTGTATTAGGTAGGAGAAAGTTAATAACACATTTTTGCTGCTATTTTTTTTTGAGATAGTCTTGCTAGGTAGCCCAGGCTGGCTTTGAAGATACAGCAATCCTCCTGCCTCAGCTTCCTAAGTGCTGGGATTACCACCACACCTGGCCTAATAGGTTTTCTTAACCAAAATGTGATACAGTATTCCTTCATTTTTGATATTATAAGGAAAATACATAATATCATAATTCAGAGTAGAGTTGTGTACTGATTCAATATAAAACTAAATGGTATTTAGGTATACTGTTGCTTCAGCTATTAAACTACTATAATTAATACATTTTATTATTATTTCAGATGTTGATTTTTTTTCTTCTCAGAAAGCTGTAAAAGTAAAAAAATACTTATTTTTAACAAATCAAAGTATTAACTCATTGCATACATAATTTCTTTTAACCTGTCTGTATATGGGCATTTTCTTTTTCCTCATTAGTTAATATTGGGTAGACATTTTATTAGGTGCTTAAAAGAAAGAGTTAAATTTTCACATAAATCAAATTATTTTTATGTTTTGTTGAATATGTTTTGAAGTGTTTATAATGACCATTTTGTAATATTTGCGTACTCACCTGTGGTGTATTTTGATCTTCTCTAGGGACAGTGGCCTTCGGGCTATTGAGAATTTGATGCAGAAGAAGGGGAAATTTGATTACATACTGTTAGAGACCACTGGGTTGGCAGATCCTGGTAAGAAGTGATGTTATTAATAGAAGGCCGTTCTTTGACATTTTGATATATGTATCAGACATTTAAAATGAATATTGAAGCTTTACTTTCAACATTTTTTTGGTTCAAAAGAGGAAAATTCTAGATTGTGTCAGATGAATGCTCAGTACTTCTTGGCACTTTTAAGCTGTTAATAGAATTTGAAGTTTTATTTCTTAACTTTCAGCCCCTTTTGTCCTTTAGAGATGAGGGCTTACTAAGTTGTTCAGGCTAAGCTTGAACTTGTGATTCTCTTGTTTTAACCTCAAAGTGCTAGGATTGCAGGTGTGCACTACCACATCCATATCTATCTATCTATCTAGATATCTTTTTGAAATAATAATAGTTTCTTTCAGAAAGAGAATTCATGTCTGTCTCTGCGATTTTATGGAGAAAAAAATCTTACTGCTTTTGAGAGGAAACAGAAAGCTTTGGTACATTTGTAGGTATTAAAAATAGGTTAATGTTTCATCTAACTTTTTATAGAATGATTTCATTGTTTGGAGAAAGTTGAGTAAATTATAAAAGAATTTAAATCATACCAAAAATAGAAAAATAAAAGGAAAGCATAAAAATCCTGTATCACTACCATGAAATAAAAGTTAACACATTTCATTCCAGGTATCTCTAAGACAGCACTCTGTGATGTGGTGTATTGAATGTCAGCATCCATCTCAGCTGGGAGCTTGTTAGAAATGAATGTTAGCAGTTGGGCTTAGTAGAACAGATTTGTATTCCTAGCCCTCAGAGAGGCTGAGGTAGGGGGAATATATGTTTGGGCCTAGCCTGGGATTTAGCAATTCAGCGACACTCTGTCTCCAAATAATAATAATAATGATAAAAAAAAAAAATCTTTGGTCTTG